AGAGATTTGTGTAAATTAATTGCAATTGACTTGAAGCAATTTTATAATGGATTCTACTGCCTATATGTATAGTAGTAACTGCTACGTACACGCGTGCTTCCTCGATCGAACGGAGACGACGCTTATTCTTTTTTTTTATGACGCAACAACTCTTGGGGGATCGTAGACACACTTGAATCACGGTGTTTAAGGTGTCTAAAATTCAGAAATGTCTCTAAGAAATATACGGAGGATTTGCCGGAGACGGCGCGGCGGCGTCAGCCAGAAACGAGTTATAAAAGCGTGTATTTCCCTCGCGAATAGTCCACCTTCATGCCCCTATATCCTCCCGTGACAATCTTGCTGAAAATCAAGACCATGTTTCTCAACGTTTCGGTAAAGTTATCGTATTCGAGGTCAAACGAACATACACTTTGACTTTCTGCATTTTATATCGTTTCACTTTATAGCAGGATTCAAAGTCTACTGTTGAATTTTTTAAATGTGATTTGACTTGCAGTTCACAAATCTAACGCAAACAAGATGTATAATGCGTTCATCATTATACATACTGCTTTAAGAATAGTCCGAAGAATATCCAAGGTTTCCGTCGAGTTTTAATTTACTAGAGAATAACACAGGAAGTATTATAAAGAATTCTTTTTTTTTTCTCTTAGACACTTACTAGCAGAAATTTAATTTGATTTATGGATAACAATAATTTCATTTGTCTGTGCATCTTAAATCTGATGACCGAGGTCGCGCATTATAGAAACTAGATTAGAGGATCTCTCGTTTCTCTTCCGGTAAGAAACCCGCCATTGGTCAGTAATTATCATTAGCGCGTTTGCGCGGCGAACCCTGACCCTCTGGCTCCGATTGGCAACCCTCTCTGTAATTAATCCAGGGGCGCAGGCGCGAATTCTCGCGTCTAATGGAAAAGCCACGTCGTGGGCGTCGACGGCACTGAAAAACCCGAGGAATTTCTGGCTTTTCCTTCTATTCCCATTCGGCGTGGCCACTAATTATAACCTAGGGGCGGTGCCGATTTCGCTACCCCTTCTAACAACCACCCTCGCCGAGCTTGCGCCCTGCTAATTATTCATTAACCCCTTTCTTCTCGACTGCGAAGGAAATGGGCGTTCCTTCCTCCACTCGGAGGTAAAAACGGTGGCGACTGACTTGATATGGCTATTAAATTCTCTACGTAGTGGAGTATGATTTATCATGTGGATATAAGTACTCGTAAAATAAAGATCATCCTTAATGACATTTCGCGACTTTCCTTTTCTGTAAATTTTTGCTATTTTCAGATGATGTATTGAGAAATATATTCATCTCAATTATGTATATTTCCAACCAATTATTATCGTATTCAACACTCAACAGACTTCAGGATTGGTCATGTAATAGACTATCCCTCGTTATCGTTCGATTAATGAGATTACCTACACTTTTTACCTTCTTGGCAATCCTTGGGGACTGTGTGCAATATTCGACACCTTGGAGACTTAATTACAATTGACCTTAGCTTTAATGATCATTTGAACAGTATTCCAAATACATGTGAAATCTCCGTACGTCCATATCACGTAATTATCATCCCTTTAGGTATTCCTGTATTACTTATCCAAAGAATCGTTTAACCGCGAATTGGTCTACAATAAGAATCGAGGCACCTGGGGCACCGCAAACAGCTACAAGTAAACGAAACATTCAATTACGCGTTCGTTCAACGGCAATTGGGTTTTCCTTCGTACAAAAGTGGCAGGATAAACACGGCGACGACGAGGGGCACGCATTCGAACGGTGTACCGATATTAAAAGCGAGGCGGTAATAGACCGGGCTGTAATTACTGCGTGGCGAACCGGCGGTCGTTATACGGTCGAATTTGCATCGGAATACAATCGTGGCGCGGTGGAAATAACAGAAACTCGGTGGTTAAAGGAGCACCGTTTCCGGCGGACAATTAGAAGTAATGACCGTTCGACAGGCGACGTACCAATCATTGTTAATTGACAACGGTTGGAAAGAACCAAAAGATCCTAAAGACTGCCCGTGGCCACGTCGAAAATTGCTCGCAATTTCGGCCGAAAAATAATAATCAATGTGGCCCATTTCCAAAAATTCATTTATTTTTCGTTCTTTCTCTTATATTAATAGACTTGTAGACGAAAATCTGGGTGGTGGCAAGTAAGTGCATTGACGTGTAACGATGACTCGCCACGGCTTAAACAGCAATTAGCAACCACCGTCCCGGCTTTTATTACGCGTATTCACAACGCGAGGTGAATCGGGCGGATAGAAAGGAGGGACGAGCCGTGTCCGGCTCCAAACTAAGACGAGAAGAACGACGAAGGAGTCACCTGGGTGACGTTCGCGTGACGTTACAACGCGCTCCCGCTGAGAATATTAATTACGTCCCCCTTACGGCCTGATCTTGGTAGCTCCCGGCTCTGAGACCCGTTCGCTCCTCTCACGAATTAATCATAATTAGCGGCGAGATGTCCTCCATCGGTTACCAGGAAAGAGGGAGAGAGACGAGAGGCGAATGAGAAAAGAGAGACGGAATAATATTATTGCGCAATTTCGGAACGAATAATTTCATGGAACTGAAAGGGGTGCGCGCGATCTTTTTTTTTATAATTTTCTTGGAGACTGTCGATGATTTATCGAGCCAAAATAAACGCCTGTCTATTTAAATAGCATAAATATAGCTACTGTAGTATCGATCGATCTGGTTTCATTCGAACATGAGAAAAGAAATGATTGGATTATATGTTTTATTATAAGTTCATATTTTAATAAAATAAAGAATGTATGCGGAATTTTAAATTTTGAGATCCCTTGGAAGGAAATTATGAATGCATGTGCACAATTTTTGGAACATTAAATACGAAATCATGGGAGTTGAGAGGTTGAATGTAACGAAAATTATCTGATACCATCGAATTACTACTTTGGGCATATAAACGAAGGTTATCTTGATAGCTGTTCCGAGGCACGCGGCCAACCGATAAAGCGATGCAATTTGGAACGCAGAACATTGCATGTGCATATAAGCTTATTATTAATAGTTACTTCGTTCCACGTCACTAATATTTTTCCCCTTAAATTGAATGCAATATTGCGAATCTCTTTGTAGTCTACAAATAAATTGCAAAGAGTCATAAGTATTTCGCCAAATGTTAATAATCGTCAAAAATCAACACTAATACTGTCAATTTTTTCATATGTGCAACATTAAATACGAAATCATGGGAGTTGAGAGGTTGAATGTAACGAAAATTATCTGATACCATCGAATTACTACTTTGGGCATATAAACGAAGGTTATCTTGATAGCTGTTCCGAGGCACGCGGCCAACCGATAAAGCGATGCAATTTGGAACGCAGAACATTGCATGTGCATATAAGCTTATTATTAATAGTTACTTCGTTCCACGTCACTAATATTTTTCCCCTTAAATTGAATGCAATATTGCGAATCTCTTTGTAGTCTACAAATAAATTGCAAAGAGTCATAAGTATTTCGCCAAATGTTAATAATCGTCAAAAATCAACACTAATACTGTCAATTTTTTCATATGTGCATTTGCCATTAAAAATTGTTGTTCTCTTAATTAGTGTTACAATATTTATGACGAATAAAGTTGGCTAGGATCATGATTAATTAATAATCGATAGATAAGGAAATTTTCTCATGAATTAGGGAAATTTGACGAATAGAACGAAAAAGCTGAGCAAAAATAATTCGCGTACAATCCACATTTCGTCTGAAATCTATTTCGCAGTACTTGCGTTACTCCCCTAATGCGTTAATTGCTCAATCCTACCTAGACGGGTCCAGTAGTCGAGGGGGCCGGGAAGAAAGCCGCGCATCATTCTAATTCATGAAGCGACCGAGTGTTCCGCCTAGTAGCACCACGCTGGATTTTAATAAACGGTTCGCCGGTCAATCCCTTATACACTACCGTCCATAAATCTCTGAGGATTTCTAACTTTTAAATTGTTCATCTATTTTCTGTATATTTACTGTACATAAATCAGTAAATTATTCATTTGAGAAATAAAGCTTATGGGATTATCTGATGACAAATTATTATTTTCTCATTCGCAATATCTATTAAGTATAAAACTTTAAGTATTGCTTTATTTGTAATACTTGGAGTGTACATTTTACAAATTGAGAATTTGTTCATTGCCATGCATAAATTCGAGATTTTCACGAGATAAAAAGTAGATCAAGGAGATAACTGTCGAAAAATACTTATGCAGGGTAGTGTACACAGCGTGCATGGTGGCTGCGGAGGAGTTTCGGTTGGTAGCTGCCAGGACGACGCGGCTCGGGGAGAGGTTAATCACCCGCGTTGGATTTTAATAAACGGTTCGGGGGGCAAACAAAGCTGGTCATCAATAACCGTTCCCCGTTCCCTTCTCGCAGGCGCTCACCCATCTCCGTCCGCCTCTTCCTAGCGGAGGCTTCGGCCCTCCTTGTCCGACCGGTGACCAAGGTGGAGACCCACCTCAGCCGACCCGGCAACGCCAGAAAGGAGCTTTTGCCACCAGCTTGTCGAGGCTCATCGGACAGCCAAATAGGCGGAGATCGTATCTGCGTGGTTATTAATTAACCGGCGTGAAGGGAAAGCCTCCTTTCATCGCCTCGCGAACCGATCAACCAAGGCTCCAGCCTTGCCCTAGCGAGAACACGTCTCTAGACAGCCCAGTGTTACGGGCAGCTTTCGCCAAGTGCTACTATGCGTTCCCTGATTTGATACTATCAAATGTTTAATTTCTTATACAAATTTTCTAGTACTTCCTACATGGATACATAATTCAAGACTTCTTATAATTTTTTATACAAATATAATTCCCTTGCAATATTTTTTGAAGCCTTTTCGTAAGACGGAATTCGTCTTTGAATCAATTGTCAATTGTCAATTGACATCAGTGAATGATAATGCAATTTGTACTTACTGATATTAATTGCAAATATGAAAATACATATACAATTACTTACCCATTTATAGAAGTGCGGCTGATGAACCAGGATAAAGCGGATCTCGCCAACGAATGCCAGGCCTGCAACGGTAATGAATCCGATCTCTCGATGGATTTCATTAGAAACACCTCGGCGGTCTTGTCGGGCTGATCATGCTGGGCTCCTGCTCCAAGTGGTACCCACAAACGGAGTAAGTCCTCACGAATCTTCGTCTTTTCAACCGTGTACCACTGCAACAAGTAATACAATCATATAAAACATAAATATCATTGATCATATTTGGGCACAATAATACTTATAAAATATCAGAAGAATATCTACTATTAATTACATGAAACGACTAAATTCGCTGTAGCCTTACACACTCGAGCAGCGCGTATCGATCTCAGTACCAATATTTTCAATTTCGCGAAGGCAATCACGACACGCGTCACGTCCTCGCGGACCCACGAAATTTCACGGTGGGTTAATGCGTCCGAAAAAAATGAGAAAGCCGCGGTCCTCTTGCGATTCATTAACATCCCGCAAGGCGTTTGGGGTGGCAAAAAACGTTTCTCGCTTCATTATCGGTGGCCGCGGTATCGCGACATTAACGATATTCCTGGCCCCCGAGAGCGGTTTCGGTGCGAAACCGCAAAACAGTCGGAGAAGCAATTACGTTGACCGGTCCTCCGGCCAGCCACCAGCGGACGCGGCAGCGAGCAACAACGGCGGTACACGACAGATATCCGATTTCATCGTCAGCTTCCGAGAATGAGAACCAATTACGCGGCCCGGGGCATTAAGGAATCGATCTAATTTGCGCGCGCGGCGGTGGCTTCTTAATGGCGAGAGCCGGCCGATGAAATTATACGAAAATGTAATCAACGCGCTTTTTGTCTCGTCTCGCTCCAAGGGCAGGGACGTAATTAGGAATGCTTTTGCGCCTCGCGACGGGGGACACTTGTTGCTTTCTCTCCCGTCACCCCGCCCCGTTCCCTGATCTCTTCCTATGCGCCTGGCTCCTTTTTTTCACCGCATCGACCTCGGTTTCTTTTCCCACCCTCATTTTGACACGGCCTGGCATACCATAAAAATATTCTATTTTAGTAATCAATCGACGCACAAATACGAACTGCTTATACTCGGTTGTTTGGCAATCATTACAAGCTTTAAGACGGAGTTTGTGCAATTATTTCTAACAGAAAGCAGTTCATTCATTAGTTCACAGCCTGCAGTCAGTACACCATGCCGGTTACAATTAGAGGGTTAATCGACCTATTACTTATTAGCAGGAGTGTACATTGTATCCCGTTTCGTAGACCACTTCGCTTCCATCGAGGCGCGAGTCAAGAGAGGCCGAGGAAAAAGAAAAAGACGGGAGGAAGGGAAAAAAGGCGGAGAGAGGAGATGGAGAAGGAGCCCGGCCACAGAAGAAGAGTAATTAACACCGTGGTGCCCAGGTGCGCGGCCCTAAGAAGTCGTTTATGGATTGCTCGGCAGCCAAGCCGTACGCGGCCATCAATTAAATTCTCTAATTAAAACAGTCCCTTCTCGGGGCCCGGGAATTAACTCCCGGCGAACCTTCGTAATATTCTGTCGACTCTGTCATCGTCGGGTACCGTCAGCCCGGATTTTGATTCCTTCACTTCTTATTTTTTCTCAAGATTTCTCGTTTTTTTCGAGGAACTTCGAAAATCGTTCTGGATATGACACAACGCGCCAGAAATACTGATCGTAAGAGGAGAACGTAGGAAAAGTGAACAATACAAAATAATGTAATTTTTTTTGGATGAATTAGGATATAAAAGGATCAATATATATTTTGCACCCAAGAATTATTCGAAATTTGTCCTAATTTTACTTTAATGATCCAATTGAAATTGATGATGCGGTGATAATTGTACAGGGCAATTTGCTTTCTTTCACCAAAACCAATTGAATTTAATAAAACGCGAGTGCAATGCAATGCCCGTTCCCAGTACTCGCTCGCCAAAATTACTCGCCGCGAATAACGCCTTAATTGAATTAACCATTAACTGAAAAATTCTACGCACTCGGGACCGACCGGTCTGCCCTGTCGAAGCAATGAATCATGTAACTCGATCATTACCCTAATGATCTCCCGACGACATTTCGCGGTTAATTGAATTGGAACAGTGACAAAGGAGAGAGAGACGGAAGGAATATCTGAAAATCAGCAATGGTACAGAGGCGAGAGAAAGGGAGAGAGAGAGAGAGAGAGAGAGAGAGAAACGGGAGAGCGTTACGATTTTAATTATAGCTGGCAGCGCGCATCGTTAATTGCAGGTAGCCGGCCTTCCACCTCCGTCATCACACTTTCATTCGAACTTTTTCGCGACTTTTTCTCGCCGCGAATTACAAATGGCTACCGACGCGGTCGCGCGCAACCGGACAACATTCCTCTTTGTGTCATTAGTGGCGACTTTCTGCACGTCTCTCGACGCCGCGCCGCGTACCCGGCTGAAGGGAATCAGATTCGCACACCTTCCGTGTACAGTCCTGCAAAAGCGTTCCTCCAAAACTTAATATGTAATACAGCGGAGATCGAAAATCAAATAAAGGTGCGCGTCAAAGCCAATAAATGCGTCCTACCTTGGCTTCTGTTCCCACAAATACTTTTAGAGATGCATTGCTTAGGAATAAATAAAGTGCATTTCAATAACTAGCAACTTCCTATGTAATCTAATAATTGAACATACGAAAATATTTAATAAAGTATATCACAGTCATTTTTGGACAATAGTAATTACACGAATGCACTAACATATCAGAGGTACGTAGTCAATTCATTATAAGTAATAATTAATAGATTAATGTTTGAGGCTTTTGTGAGACGGACTGTAGCAGGCATACTCGGACAACAAGTAGCCAACTCGGAAATCACGCTCATCTAAATCAACGTCTCGCGATGCACCGACAAACGACACGAAAGGGAAGGCTCGATCTTTCCACGATGGTACCTCATTTTTTAATACTGTTCTCTTTCTCGTCCCTACGAAAGAAAATTGAATAGCCGCAAACCCTCTCGCGTACGTACACTACCGTGCAAAACTGACCTAGTTCATCTAAAAATCGATATATGAAATGTTCAAACATATGAATCTCAAAATTTTGCATAATCTGCTAATCACAGGTCAAACCTTTTTTTATCGAACAACACTTGTATTAATTATGTTTTGATTAAAAATAAAAATTCTAACTATGTTACAAGACAAAACAAAATATTTTAACTCTGCTGTTTTAGTAATACTCTGATCGCACTTCAAATTACCAGTGTCGCGAACGAGCGTTTTAATGTAAAATGTGGTACCATAAAAGCAAAATGAAAAATGGAAATGAAGCGGTATGTGATAAACGTGTCTGATAATCAGCACTTACATTTAAAAAAAAGGTAACTTCGTGTCACGATACGAGTGTACGAGGTCTCCACAACTCGTCGGTTAGCAAGACGTCGTGTTCAACGCACTTCACTTGGTACCAAACGGTTATGTGCACCTTTATGACGGCATGCTAAAGTGCATAGGAAAACTTGCGAATCGCGCATAAAGTTAACCGTACAACCGTGTCATGCTCCTGGATGATAATATTTCAAGGCTATGGCAATCTTTTATTGTTCCCCTGCACCAGTACTCTTAACGTTTAAATAGATCTAATTAATCTTTCCGACGGTATCTATAATATTCATCTGACAATCATAAAGATGAGTTAATGGCCAACTGTAAATGTTTCAGAATTTCGTTTCCTGTAATCACACGCTCTTATTTTCTGCAACCTGTGAAACGTGACAATTACACAAAATCTACATGGATTCTATTTTTCGTTAATAGCCATAATTTCTATAGTCTCGTTCTAATTTTTCAGGATATATTGGCATAACTAGATCTAGTCAGTCAGTTTTTTTTAAATCTTTTCATCGGGAATGGATCATCTGGAAGTGCAAGGTACGAGGAGGAGTCGAAATTCGCCTAAAACCCGGCGTAAACTGTGACCGATAAACAATGGTCGTCGACGGGGTTTATGCTTTCCGAGGAATACTGGGGATGTTTGGCCACTCGCGCGCGGAGCTCTTCGGATTCCCCGACCGTGTTGGATCGCGAGTCAAGCACATTCTCTTCCTATGTCATTATGTTGTGTCGGACGGACGCGAACCC